GCTAAATGAGTTTTATTATTATATCTGTAGTACTTAGAAAATAAAAAGGTTGATAAGAGGAAGTGAAACAATAATGGGCCAAAAACTGGAGATCAGCAATGAAAATATTATATTTACAGAATATTTACATATCATCAAATTTTATTATGTACAGTTTTTCATTTTTGGTCATGTCTACTTCAGATATATTCCTGATAATAGCTAATTTTCTATAACAATTATAGAAGTAACTGAGTTTATATAGCTACTTATTGTAGAAAATCATCAGATTTATGAGCTTATTTTTTAAGGTGGGATATGAAATTATATTGCTTTAACTGCAAAAATCATATCTTTCAACTTGACACAGCTTCTTCAAATGTGTTTTCTATGTAGTAGGATGTGCTGCTATTTTTTCAAAAGTTTGAATACACCAAAATGGCAAGCTATCTCTTTGCAGTGCATGTGTGCAGACAGCCACCTGTACATTCATGTTATTAGATGATTGTCTGATAATCATTCTCAGACATTAAATCTACACAAGAGAACTGAGAACATGTTGACTCTCAGATTAACATTATGCAAAATTGCCTGGTAAGAATGGAACATTGACTTTTATTAATCTTTCACTGATATCACAAAATATATTTTTAAGCTTAAGACATTCTCTAAAGAATCAATTTTAATTTAGAGACTAAATAAAATCCCCATTAAACCTGATAAATAGTAGACTCAATAAATACAAAGCTTTTTACTCTAAATCAAAATGAATTCTGCCTTAAATGCTCCCTACTCTAGCAGTGTGTTAGCAAGGAATCAGAGTATAGGTTCTTTCAGAGATGAAATATCTCTTTAAGAAAGTAACACAAAAATATAACCCTGAGGCATAATATTTCTGAGATGAATAAACAAGAATGTGGAGAATAACTATAGTGTCACATCCTGTACTCTTAGTGCCAATATTTTGGGTGGGAAGAATGATTATTTTTCCACAGAAATGTCTACTAATTAATAAATTATTGAATATAGAAAGTTTACTAGTATTTTAATAAGGATTTAACTTTGCATAAGCATTTATGTCTTCTTTTCTTTTCTTTTGACTTCAGGTGCAATAACAGAACCCAGTGTGCAGTCGTGGCAGGTCCTGATGTTTTTCCAGACCCCTGTCCGGGGACCTATAAGTACCTTGAAGTGCAGTATGAATGTGTCCCTTACAGTATGTATATTCCTATCATTTTTTATAAAGAGAAAATAAAGTAAGTTTTGTTTTGCATACATTGACAAAATATTCTCTATGAAAACTTAAAAACAATTACATAAATTATGTGGAAAAAATGGGTAATTTTAATTTTTTAGCACAATAAACCCTTTCCACCATTGGAAGAATTAGATGTTGTTTACATGATCCTGCAGCTTTTAATTTTGACTATACGCTTCTGTACATTGATATCTATTCTAAAACTCTTTTCTTAAAGTAAGAATATGAAACAGTTAGATGAAAGTTGAAAAGTGATATGCCAGTACTTCATTCCTTCATGTCCAAGTAAAAGGTAGTAAAACTAAATAATATTATCATCATATATATAGTGCTACATAAATTGATAAATTTGAATTTGATGGAAGCAATTATAGCTATGCTTCCCATGTTGTCAGTATTTCAGGAATAAAGATATACTTACCAAGTGGGAGCATACTAAAAAAATACTCGGATTACTTGAACTAAAGCACTCTACAGAATGCATCTTTTACAAGCACAAGAAGTAGGTCTTTGCAACCATTATGTCAGATACGGTGTATACCAACAACTTGTTTTTTCTTCGGGAATAATGAAGAATCAAACAATCAAAAATGATACATTATCTGGCTTTTTTACTCAAGGGAATCATCCCCATCTCAAATAAACATATTGTTGAGCTATCTAGTTCATTATTCATGAGGTTCAATAGTGAAGCTCACTCCGGAAATCCTGTATTCTCCGATTAGATATTCAGCTTATCCCAGAGGTATAAAACACCTGAGATCATAAACAAAACCAAAGTTTCAACTTCCTTTGACATCTAAGAAGAAGCAAAGTGTCTGGGGATCAGCAAGATGCCTGTGCCAAGAGATAGCTGTAGGCTTGCCTCATTTCTGCTCATTTAAGAAGCAGCACATTGCTCATGAGCCGTAAGGGAGCAGTTTGACCAGCAAGAAATAGACTGAAATTTTAAAATAATAATGAAAGCAATCAAGGGAAAGCTTTATTTTTGCTTATTTGTAGTACATTTGATTAGAGAAAGTGTAGTGATGTTTTATGAAGCTAATTTCCTTGTTTAAAAATGCATAAATGTGTAGGTTTGATTGAAATCTCAGTTGAGGTTATGCTTCTTACATTGTTCTCAGGGATCCTTCTATGAAAATATGAGGCTCATACTGACCATTTGTTCTTCATTAGTAATCATTTACAGAAATAATATTTGAAGTCCGTTTTGGAACTGTGGCAATTATATTTGGATTGCATGATGCGATCTTTGTGAAAAATGTAGAATAGCTGTTTCTAAGGCATTTTATAAAAATATACACTAAGGTATAGGTGCACCTCATTTTAAAAGACAGTCTTTGGAAACTTATATTTGGCATCAAGCTGAAGTAGGAATGTCAAATTGTAGATGTTTTTCATAATTTTTAAAAGTTAAAGAATCTTACAGCTGCCTCCTCAATTATCTGTGTTTTTTCTGAGTTTCTTTGTAAATAACTACTCCAGAATCTTCTGTCAAGCTTATTCTGAAAAAGTATCTACTTAAGTTATTTCAATAGAATTAAGAACTTCCTCATACTTGCATAAAAAGATTACTATTTATCACAGATCTCTGTTTTCTCTTATAAACTACCAGATATGGACAATTTGAAAGCGGAATATCTTATTTTTGTAGGTTTCTGGTAGATTGAATATTTACTGATTGCTTTCAAAATTTATTCCTATTATATTAAAGTATTTATCTGATTTTTTTATTAAGTAAGAATTTTAAACTTAAGGGGAACCACTTGGGTTGTTTATACCCCAGTTTAACTTATATGGTGTACAATGATTGTGTTTATTTAAGTTATATTTTGTATGTGTTTTAGTTAAAGGTATAATTGGTAATTTCTTTAGTAAATTTAACTTGTTTAAAAAAATAATCCAAAATAAAGTATAAACCATTCAAAAACCTATAGGGACTCATTTAAAGGTAGGTTGATTTAGTAGAAAGACTACCAGAAATCAGGAAGCCAGGGTTTTTAGAATATGGTCTTATTGCAGAACAAATGGCCCGGGTCCATTAGTCTAGGTAAGCTATTGAAATTTTGTGGATCTCCCCTTATAGACATAACCTGATCTGTAGTAAATTATGATTTTGATCAACACTATGCTCTTTCTTGCCTCTAGTGTAAAACAGATTGTCCAGTGCTGAATTGATTCACTTATTAATAATAGCTATCACTTGACACTTGCTACATGCAATTTACAACATGGGTTAAATGTGTACATACATTATTTTATTTTATTCTCACAATATCCTCACTCTGTTAGGTAGGATTATCACCGTTTTACTAGAGAGGAAACTGAGGCTCCATTGGATAAGTGAATATCTCTTGGAAGATGTAGAATTGCTAGAAAATGGCAGAGCCAAGATTTGAGTTGTCACTGATCGTTGTTCTTAAGGACCCAGCTATAGTTCTCCTCATAGATATTTTTCTTTATATGTTCATGAGTTATTAAATCTCATCCAATATTTAATTCACAATCTTCATCAGTAAAGTAATGGCACATGGTGAAAGCAAATGATTCAAAGACCCAGGCCCAGTTCTTTTGCTATTTACTTTTAAGAGGTTTGTGTGTCTTTCTTAAAGAAGATAAATCACTGCAAACTTCTATTTTACATAAGCACCTAATGAAGCTTTATGATTTAAACTAATTTGTGCCATAAAAATGCTACCCACTGTTTAGAATAAGGCTCTTACCAAAGTAACAAATTAAGAAGTTGTTTAAATTAACTGTATTATAAGAAAAAACCCTTGTACTTAATATACTTGTTAAAATACCCCTATTGTAGCCCTGGCCATTGTTTCTCAGTTGGTTGAATATAGTCCTGTGTACTGAAAGATTGCTGGTTTGATTCCCGCTCACGGCACATGCCCAGATTTCAGGCTCAGTCCCCTGTAGAGGGCTTGCCGTAGGTAGTTGATTGATGTTTTGCTCTCATATCAATGTTTCTCTCTTCGTCTTCCCCTTTGTCTCTCTAAAAATCAATAAAGATATTTTTAAATCCCTATTGTATTATTAGAATAAACACTTCAGACTTAAGATTTATTAATGTTTGAACATGTTCTATTAAAACAACTGAATAAACAAATAAATAATGTTAAGTTCTATTTCTTAAACAATTAACTAATTCCAAGTTTTATTTTGAATTGTAGACAATAAAATTCATGCATTTAGTGATCTATTTAGTATTTATGAATGTTTTCTTAATATTGGAATGTGGAAATATATTGATATTTTCTTCCTCTATACATACCCTTTGTGTGCGTTTCCATGGTAATACTAATTTTTAAGGGAATAGTTTTTCACGGAAAAATATAGAAAACTTTGAAACATAGAAATGCAGAAAAAAACTAAAATATGTAGGAAAACATACTAATATTCATGGTGCGGAAGCATATTGCAGGTAAAAAGTCAACAACTTCTTTGTATTACAAAAGAAAATAAAGTTAAAAAATGCTGAAGGTAAGCCTGCAATAATTTTTGCACAGATTTTTGTCAGTAAGTAGTTACATAATTTAACAATGGCAGTTTTAGAAGCTTAGACTGAATCAAACAAACAGTATAACTTTTGTTTTTATTGAAATCATTTTTTATTTTTCAATTACAGTTGACAGTACAATATTATATTAACTCCAGGTGTACACCTCAGTGATTTGACTTTATAGAACTTCCTAAGTTATCGGTATGACTTTTTAAAAAAGATACTGATCGGAAAGAAACTAAGAAAAATTAGTGATTGTAAACAATTTTGTGAGGCTACCTGCGCGGGGAGTGTTTTGTACTCAATTTTTTGAAATCACTGTAGTTATTCTCTTCTGTCTTTAGTTTTTCCGTCTTGTCTGTAGTGTCTTGTTTGTGTTCACAGATACCCTGTTTGTGACCAAATTTGTGACAGACAAATCAATACTTTTCTCTGTTCCTGTTACACCTTAGTTCCAGTGTGACTTTTATAGCCTTTGCGTTTTCTTTGAGGTTTGACTTTTCTCCTTAGCGGTATTTTCTCCCCAGGAGATGACCCAGATATTCCAGAGGTTAAACCTCAGCATTTACCAATGTCACATTTTTGCTCTATCTTCCTTCTCACCCCACCCCCATCGCTTCTGGGGTGATTTGGGATTGAAATTGTGGCATCTTCAAGTAGAGCTTTCTTCATTTAGCCAGTTTACTGGGATGAATTGTGTTAGGGAGAAAACAATAAAACAACTAACCATCTAGTTAGGGTATTTCTGAGCAAGGAATCTTCACTTTGTATCCTGCTGACAATTTGTCTTTCTTCCTAGGCATACAATTTCACGCATATTAAACTCAAAAAGTGCTTGTCTTTTCTCACAATCTAGCCTTTCTCTTCAGTTCTTTGTTTCTTCCTTTCAGAAATACAAAGCACATATTACTTATTCTAATAATCTTCTGTCATGGTGGATTTTCTGCAGAAATGGAGGGAGGAAGCATACAGTTTTGAGCGCATATTAGAAATGAGTGTTTGATTAAACTGGTATTATGTTGTAGCACTTAGAGACTTTCTGAAGACATTAGCCATCTGAAGACATGTAAAATAAGTATTATTAGAAAATTAATATTTACAAATAATTATACAATATTTTAGTTTAGTTTTTAACTATAAGAAAAATGCATTACACTTTTAGAATTTAAAACAAATGTCTTTAACTTTAATTATAAATAACTACATTTTGCAAATAATATTCTAATGAGTGCATATTTTAATGCATGCATACTTTGGTTCCTATTCTATAAATAAGTAATTACATATTTTAAAACTCATTGTGCTGAAATGAACCCATATGTTTAATTTTTAAAAGATCACAGAAATGTCAAGATGTATTCTGATTCCCAATATACCGCAATACCTTTTTCAGTTTCTGACATATAGAAAACATTAAATACGCATATATTGAATGATTGAAAGAAAGAGG